TTTCAGATTCAGTAAAGAAAATGAGCAGTTATGATTTTTATTGATAATGAAGGTAGTGAGCTTACAATACAGCTGGTCACGCTGGAGATAACAGATAAGTGCAAATATGTGGGCATATAGATAAGCAATGGGACCGAGTACCTAAGGGAACACGAAATATACATGATGACAAAAGGTAGCATGAATGCAGGAGTGATGAAAACCAGGGCACTGTGAAATTACAATAGGTATAATGTCGTGAGAGGAATATGGAAAGGGGTCATGCTTCCTGGTCTGACTTTCGGCAATGCGGTCTTGTTGTGCATGAGATCAGAAGTTCAAGCAAGATCAGAAATTAAGCAGCACGGAATAGGTAGGCTTCCTTTAGGAGCTCTCGGGAATACACCAAATTAGGGAATACAAGGTGATATGGGATGGACATCATTTGAGCGCAGGGAAGCTAGCAGCAAGAGAAAATTTGAGAAGCGATTGAGAGAAATGGTGGAAGAGCGTTGGGCTAGCGAGGTATTCAGCTATTAGTACATAAAGAATGTCGATACGAAACGAAGGAAGCGAACCAGAAAATTGACCGGTAAATATTTAGAAAACAGCAGGGGGCCAAACCAAAAATAATTATCGGTTAAGAAGAAGGTGAAGGAAGCTGAGACCGATATGTGGAGAATTGACATGATTAAGAAATCTGCATTAGAGATCTATCAAACTTTTAAGCAAGAAATTGTTAAGGAAATGATCTATGATAATACCCGGGGTAGTTCTCTACTGTTTGAGGCGAGGACGGGAGTATTGCGAACCAAGGCATATGGTGCCAAATTTGAAGGGGTAGGCACGGTACACAGTGCTTGTGGAGAGGAGAAGAAAAATCCTAAATACTTGATAATGTTCTGTAAAGGGCTTCACCCTACAGTACAGGATGATGGCGCAGAGTATTTCAAAGCACTGGGGTTTAGGGACAGGGAGGGCAAAATAGACTTTAAGCGGGTAGAATTAACTAGAAGGAGGTTATCTGATTGGTGCCTAAAGTCAAGGCACGAGTGAAAATTGAACTCTTCACTGCCAAGTACGAGTCCTCAACCTCACTATTAAAAGGGAAAAATAAATCTAGTCTTTGGGTCACTAAGTATTACAACTTGGTGGTGATAAACACCGCCCGATCTAAAAGGTACAGCCACACCAATCCATCCATCCAGCCATTAAAGAGACCGTATAAGGAAATGGTGTAATGGAGCCAAAAAAAAAACACAAGTTCGCCAGGCTTGCGCAAAACGCGCAGCACAGTCACAGCGAAAGCATGAACAGCTGCCTTGCAGAGATTTTTGCTAAACACTCTTTGCGTAAATGCTAGAAGCACACTTGCTGGATACCCACTACGCCATAAATAACCATAATTGCTGGGTTATTGCTGGGCCGGCATTTAATACGCTATCTTTTGATGTTCTTCGAAGAAACGTGGTATCCGCTGAACACTTGCAACGGATTTCGTGCGAATTTTGGGTTGAATTCAGTGGCTGACGACGATGAAGAGCCACGCCGGAGGTGGGCGCTTACAAGCGCTTCTACATGATATACTGCGAACAACCAGAGTTCAATGATGAAAAATGACTGTTTTTAGGTTAGACGAAGAAATAAGGGAACAAACGTTGTCAACATGTTTTTGTCGTGGCTATTCCTATCACCTCGGTCATTGGTATAAATAAATGAGTGAATAAAAGAACGGACCACCCGGCCTGAGCGGCACAGTCACAGCTAAAGCGAGAAGAGCGGCCTTTCAGAGCCTTTTCTAAACAATCTTTGGGTAACTGCTACAAACACTTGAAGGGTAGCCAGTACACCATAAATAATCATAACTTTTGTGCAGTAGGCCGCCATTCACTCTGCTATCCTTCGTCATTCTTCGGAGAAGTGTGCTATCTGATACACACTTGCAAGAATTTTTCTGCGAAGTTTTCTTGCAGTGGCTGATGATGATAAATAGTTACGCCTGAAATGGGTATGCGCCACTGTTAATAGGTGAATAAGAACAAGCTTCTGTAATAGCTTGAAGGCAAGGAGGCCTACAGGTCTGTAGGGATCGGCAGCCAGGAAAAGGTATGGGACGCCCTGACTATACTACAGAAGGACTCCACGGTGGCGGAGAAAGCTGCGATTGCTTTAGCTATGAGGAACACAAATAGTCATACATTTCAGTGGCTCTAAGGCAGCGATTACGAGCTCTGCCAAGGGCTATGTCGCGGAGACTGCGGTTAAACTTATGAACAAAGTCAATGCTATTGATACTGAAATCAGATGGTTTCCTGCGAATATGAGACAAGCGCAAGACCCGACGCTTACTACAGTTCCGTTGATCACAAAGACCATTTAATCACGTAGAACGATGCCACGAAATATTACTTGGGGCTTAGGACAATTCCCACTGCCTCACGTAAAGTTGAACAGTGCTCAGGCAGCAACGCTACGTTTACAGTGAACCAGAACATACCTCACTCAGTATTTTCTGAAGGATATTCACCCTGTAAGTCAATTTCAAGATGAGTGTGACGCGTGCGATGACATCGTTAGAATGGCAGACATGCTGGAGGTCTGTCCTGTGACTCTCGCTGACCTTCTACGAAGAATGGCTTTACTGGCAGTAGATGATGCAAAGCGCGTCTTATCGAGATCAGATGCCGGCAGTCCAGAAAGTGTGCAGTGACGCCATAGGGCTCGGTCTGAAAAGACCGGGCTCCGAGTCTTGTGAGTGAATCACTTGGATTTAGCCCCTCGTTACGCTATTCGCATTGTGTGACGCCTGGTTGTTCCTTTGGTGTTTCTAAAACGGTTTAATACTCAATAACGCGATGCATTTCCCGACATCAAGCCTGCCTAAGGCAAGTTTGCGCACGAGGCCGAAGCGATGACGTGGATCAGCGGTAATTGATTTGATTGATTTGTGGGGTTTAACGTCCTAAAACCGCCATATGATTATGAGAGACGCCATAGTGGAGGGCTCCGGAAATTTTGACCACCTGGGGTTCTTAACGTGCAGCCAAATCTGAGTACACGGGCCTACAACAGTGGATTAGTGGTAGAATACTGGGCTAACACACCGTGGACCCGGTTCGAATCCCACTATGTCAGCACTTGTCTTTAATGTTTTTATATGAGTTTTCCTGCTTATATCGTGCGAGAGTGGTTACGGACAGCTGGTGGCGGCGGACAACTGCGGTGTCGCTGCGTGACCCATGTTGTCATCTCATAAGAGCTTTCGCTGTAAAGAAATATGGCAGATCTAACGTCTCTTGGGAAACGATGTTATGCGAAGCATGTGGAGGGAAGGTGACAGCCTTGCAAGGTTTTTTTATTGAGCGCAGCATTACGAAATGACGCTAAATATATATACAAATGTTGTATACACAGACATTAGTTTAACAGTCACATGTCTACGCTTGCGTAACGATATCATCAGCAACATGGGCATTAGCAACACCAGAAGCGGAAAGCTGATATGTGGCGCTTGTGACCGCGATGATGGCAGCCCTGGACACTAATAGTTATATCAGCCTTAGTCTATGTCGCTTCACTACAATTGTCGTTCACTCGATGTGACGGTTGTCTCTTAGGAGTACGTATGTTTTTTGTTTAAAAAGTTTTGTTTAAAGCCACAATTGACGCTTGACCGACATTACGGCACACTTGAAAAGCAGTTGCGAGACCTGGCGTGGCTCTGTGGTAGAATACTTCGTAGCCATGCAGATCCATCCGTCCGTCCGACGAGGGCTATAGTGTTATAGGAGTAGACACATACATACATACATACATACATACATACATACATACATACATACATACATACATACATACATACATACAGAAGCACGGAAGAACGGATGGAAGCAATGACTCACAGACAGACCGATAGACAGACATAAGGATGAACGCACGCATGCACAAACATACCTACGGGCAGGTACACAGAGACGAATGAACGCATGGATGGATGGAAGCACTCATCATAATTCACTCTGTCGATATGCTGCGATTTCTTTTTCTTAACGGTCACGCATTAAAGCTGAAATGGTGGCGTCTCACCATTTCTTGGTATGTAATATCTGAAGTGACAACCACCTGTAGGGCACATGCCCGCATAGCAGTGACACATATTCACCCGCGAGTATGTTACTGTCTGGCGGAAAGTGTTGAACGATGTACGCGACGGGTTCCTCACGTTACTAGGCTCATGATTAGGGAGTCCTATTCGTCCAACTACCTTACCCTTCTATACTAATTTTGGTTTACCTCTACTTAAGGTGGTGATCACGAGAGCATCCAGGCATAGGCGGCTAGATAGATAAATATATAAGACGCCAAAAGCGCATGCAGTGCGAGAAGAAATGTTTCGCATTTAGAAACCTTATAGAAAACAACATCAGATATGCATACATGAACGGAAGACAAGAGAAAAAGCCTACGCAACCCACACATTCTTGCTTCCGCGAATGCGTGGATACCTTTTAGTGTGACTTATGAACTTTTGGCCGAGGCTGGAAATTCACAATGAATCGAAATAGTGCGAAGAAACGTGGGACGACAAAGAAAGCTAGAAGAGAAGCAGACCATGCGCTTCCCTCGCAGCCTTCTTTGTCCTACTTCTTCTCGTGCTATTTGATCTATCATAACGTTCGTTGCGTTGAAATATTTCAAACTAAAGTGTCACTCTGTTGTTTTGGAGTCATTATAAAAGGTTTCTCATTTTATTCACCCAGGCTGCTAGCACGGAATGGCAGCGCAGCGCCAGATACGAATGCTAACAGTATTCTTAAGAATTTTTGTGATGAAAATCTAACGCACCTTGCCATCTTTACAACTAAAATAAGCACAAAAAGGAGACGCAGTAGGTTAAGAGAATAGTCGCAGATCTTGGCGGACAGACACCCTGCTGGAAAGAACAGCACAAATCATCCAGCAGAATGATGTTCACTTAAGGAAGGCCACAGTGCGGCCAATACAGACGGAACAAAAGTTGGGTAAGCCACTGGTGTTCAATGTTCACTGCTTCTTTACTTCCAGTGTAACCTGCAGCAGCTGTACAGAATACGTTTATTAACAATATTATCTGTAACACCCTGAAGTACAGCATCCCGGCTCACTGAAGCAATGAAATTTGGTTTCCCTACTCTCCCTTGATTGCAATCAAAGCATGCTGATCACAAAGGAGGCACTATTCTTCGTTGAGGTCTTCGACGGCGTCCAATGCGGGGTCTTCGAGAGAGACAGTCGACGCGTTCGACGGCGTTGGAGACTGGAACATATCGTCTTGAAGTTCCTGGAAGACAACAAAGCGCATGAGTCAATACCAAATGAAAATTATAAAAATTACTTTACTACATTCCGAATCATCAAAACAATAGAAAAATTGCCAGAGACTCTGGAACGAGAGACTTAAATTTATGCTACCTACCTGCGGTGTATTACTCGACCATTCTTGCTTTCCACCCTAACGAAATTTGGCTATGATGACCTGCCGTAAGCTCAATAATAGATTTTGTTGTACTGTCTATAAGATTTCTCCTTCCCCATCCCGATGATGTAAAGAAACTCTGACACCAAATCTGGAAACTCGAGAGACTCATGTTCGAGGGCGCTGCGTGCTAGGGCATGTCTGACCGATTATTGGAGACGAGCGTTGCCTGTAAGATATTTTAGGTTGGCTGTAAAGGTGCGTGCTCATAGGAGTATTCAACTGCAAATGACATTTTAGGTGGTTTGTCGTAGACAGGAGGCCCCCTCGTGACGTTGCAGAGGTCACGAGGGGGCCTTTTTCAGGAACATTTGCGGGGTGCACGCAATACCCCAACTGGCACCTGGGAAGCACTATTAACGTGATAGCGTTAGAGAGCTAGTTTCGCTGAAATTCCGGCATCGGTGTCAGCGCCGTTGGTTGTGAGCGAAAAATTGTCTTATGCGTGAGAGAAAAATTCAACCCTGGTGAAAATAATATAAACGACAAAAAACTTTTTGGACAGACCAAGAAGTCGGCTTCTCTGAGCAGCCTCCAGTAGCTGCACCCAGGCAAATGTGTACTGTAAGCTTTACCGCAGAGAAAGCGTGGTGCGAGCATTGCGAAGGCGACGTGGTACTTCCGAAGCAGTTATTTCTACTAGTTTGTTGTAGCGCTGCTTCGCTCTGTATTCATCTCAAGTGAAACCAAATCCGCCACAAGCTTTCAGTATGAGGCGCTAGTATTCTGGATCGCTGTTTGTGTATGCTGTTTCTCAGCGCTCACCACTGTAGCTATCAGGATTCTGACAATTCCGACATCAAATTCCTAAGCCGAAATAGTCTGTCCTCATGCAACTTTGACTAACAAGGAACTTCACAATAGGATGACGCTGGATCTTTTCAATTACATCTAAGGGATTCAATGTGGCTTTCGTCTGCATTGAAACACTTCGACAAACGACATTCTTTCGGGGGAAGTTCTTCGCCGATAGAAGGCAAATTATCCAGGGGCTTCCAGCATTTACCAGTCGTGTCCATTCCACGATGCTAGGGAATTTCGTCGTGGTCAAATACCTAGACATACTTATGGCCGATAGGTGGATGCATGGCATGTGTGTATTAAATAATCGGGTATTTTTATTGTTTTCAGCGAGCGTGTGCAGTAAAAAACAATAGCGATGAACCATATTATATTCTCTGTCATACATAGGGTACTATAAGGCAACTATACATATATATAGGCAACTGTAAAAAAATGGGCAGTGGCACTCGATCATAAATTAGTTCGTACTCAAAACTTGTAAGAACCATTAATTAATTAATTGGTGCATCTAAGACGTAATATTTTAAATTAAAGTTTTTCATTTAACCATGGGACATCATGAGCGTTCTATTTATAAAAAAACGGTATCCCTTGCACCAAAAGCTCATCTCACCGCTAGTCGGCAAACTAGACGCCGCCAAGCACTTCCCATAGTGAAGCTGCGATTCCATTGGCACTAAAAAACGACAGTTTAAATTACGCTTTGTGCACGATACTGATTTAAAAGGTTCTATACATAATTTTTAATATTTATGAGTAGGCATACCGCACGAATATAGAGAGTCGACATTTTTGGTGAAATGTGAGGAAAAATGGCGAAATTGAAGACTTTTTGCTCGCCGTTTGGCGACATTGGCTGGAAAGTCAGTAGTAGCCCTGAACGGTGGCCGCTCATAGAGCCTAAAGTCACTGTAGAAGGGAACCCCAACGTGCATTCACATACATTTCTACTCTCAAAATAACGTAATCAAAGACGTGTAATGAAGTCACTATGCATTACAAAAAATGATGAGGTAAACAGGACAAGTGCAGCACCGCTGTTTTTTCAGATTTCGCATCGGATGGAACTGCGGCACCTTTTCGTCGTTGATTCTAACTAAAAAAATTAAGTATAGCAACTTTGTGACCTCTGCCCAGCCTTAATTTATCGATTATGTTGTCGGATAGAAAATAGGAAGACAGAAGAAGCCCCGCTCAGACAACTGATGTGCGGTGACCGATCACCTTCGCTCATGCACTGGGCACTGGTCCTGTACGCACTACTTCCGCTCACGCACTTGGCGATATTCTCTGAAAGCAACGTGACCAGCAGCCCAACAGCCTAGAGTGGGCGCCCACTGATGCGTGCCTCTCTGCATCCAGGACGAAATGCCGCAGAATTCTAAAGCTGAATGCGAATATTTGCAATTTTCGTAGACTGCATGTCGCGCCGCCTAGCGGAATTAAGGAGCGCCCTCTCAAGAATGATCAGTAGGCAAACGCTCCTAATGCTGCCTTGTTTGGCGGTGCTAGCCGCAGTGTAAACGCGTTAGCAAGAAACAAACACAAATTACTTTGTATGTTTCGTGCATCAGTGAAAATAGCGGACCCTTCGTGACACGATAAATCTGATTTAATCTTGCGAGACGCGAAGTTTTCGTGAAGATACGAGGCAACTCGCGCTTTCAATTAGAGCCCGCAGAGTTTACATGAGTGTACAGAGTACATATAGTGCAATCGGGCTTTGCGAGATATTTCGCAGTCACTTAAGATAAGTTAAATGTTAACGCCCAACCATTTTAGTCGAAACTCGCCTTGTTGCACGGGCGTATAGCATTCGTCATTGCTTTTGTAGTGCATGAATCCCATAATATTCATTGTACGGGTAAAGCAGCGCAGGCTCGAGATTTACGCTTCCAAACCTTGGCCAACGCTGCGCCACTTGTATTTTACGTTCGTTGATAAATGGCAGCACACTGAAAGCGATCCCTTCTTTGCCGGGTATCGGAGCGAAATGATCTCCGCACCCTGAAATAAACGTGGTGAGGAATGCCGTGTGGGTGTTGTGCGTGGTGAATGATGCCTTGTTGGTGCTATCGAAGTCGTTTGGCAGGGATAATTCCTCAGGTTACTTTCAGCAGTGATGTTGAAAGAAACTGTCTTGACGTCGAGGATTTTTGACTAAACGTAGATGGTTGTGGACGCGCAGAGAGTAACAGCGACGGTGAACGATCAGCTGCTAGCTCACGAGCGGAGACTTGCTCTTCACGTCCAGTCATGCGTTAATGTTTTTCCACTCTCGTAAGTCAGTTCGATTGTATTTATTGTATAATATCCTTCAGCGAGCTTGAAATGAAAGCATACTGTTTCTTGTGCATTTGATGTATCCCATTTACAGTGGATATTACAAAGCGCACATGCCGCCAACACGCTCGAGCTCGACCAGCAAAGCGAAATGGTTAGAGCAGTGAAATATGCATTTACGACTACAGTCAACGCTAACTTCTCCTGCACTTCACTGGCTTCGTGCGAACGGCGTTGTTCGACAAATTTTCGCAATTTTGACGTTGCGAAAAGGGTACTCGTGTATTGGTTTAGATATCCTTGTGTCGATCGCGCTGATGAAACCTGCAACATCAAAGTGTGGGGAATCGCGCAATGTTAGAGTCTGACATTGGCTGTGACACAAGTGCTATTTAATGGGAAATTAAATGCTTGTGTTCTGTCTAAGCAGCAGCTACATGACGCTTACAGCACAAATAACGACGGTGTAATGTGTTTCCAAACCATTCCTACGTTAAACAGTCGTTCCTGGGCAGCCGCAATGGCACGCTATTCGCTATTGGCCTACTCATGCGGCAAATCCGCCAGACAGGCTCTGAACAAATGATTTCGGAGTGCCATTCAGTTCATACGTGGTACATCAGCTGACACTACCACCCTTTGCACTATGGTGACAAATGAGGTTGCGAACATTCAGCAGTCCCTATTGATTGGGAAAGTACTTTGCTTCGATACACATTCGTTTGACGATCAAGATTTAATCCGGTGAAAGCGGCACAGGGAGTACGTCCGTGTGTCCAATCTTTTCTTATGAGTGTTCATGTGTTGATGATCCTTCCGCAGCCATCTTGGGAGGCACGAAGCGCCACCTGTTGGCCGTGGGCATTGCGAATAGCTGTCGTCAATTTGTCTCCGGTATCCAGACTCTCTTTATTACTATGATGAGTAAGCTTAGAAGCGGCTTTGTAGACTGTCAGCGTATAGCGTTTACGTCACTGGCCTCAACTGTTAGACATCCACTGGTCAGTTAGAGAGAGTAGTGAAAAATGGTTACTTACAGGAAGCGTAACCATGAACTGGTAGAATCCGAAAACATGGCGGTAGGTACGGCGAAAGATGAACTCACCTCTGTCGGCCACAAACAGCAAGACTAGAAAGGCATGCTCCACTGCGCCCAGAGTTAGATCATATAGCGTCTGTAACAAGTGAAACAACGTGAAGGAGCTGCGCTGGGCTATCAGATTCGCAACGGCTGTGTACCGTATGTGCACTGTTTCGTACATGCAGCAAAATTCCACCAGATGGGGAGTGCAAGGCAATTATTGTTTTAATAACAAAATCTATTCTGCATTATTAAAGTCTTACCCCCGCATCAGCACAAAAAAAACACTGTTAAGCGATAATGAAATAATAAATCTAGATGTTTACGTGATATACGGGCTGGAAATTTACTGTGCTATTGTAAACTTCGATGACACACTAATTTGTCGCGTTGTGTCCATCACAGCCCAATGGATACTTTCGCATGCATTTCTGAAAGTGAATACGCCAATATCCTTGCTTCAGCTTGTACCCACAACGAGCGTGACTATCTGGAGTTTCCGTGAGTGAGAGGCAACGCTCATCTGCTTGGGCACCGATCACTGCCTACAGCAGCAATCACACCATCGTGTGGCAAACGGCTGCCATGTTTTTTTTTCCTAATCTGTCCCTCTTGCTAAGTTTGTACGCTTTGACAAGGAAATCAAAACCAAGCGTCTCAAGCTTCTACAATTGGTTAACATCAATGACGATTAGTATATTTGCGGGACACTTATTCTATTAATCGCTAATCGGTATTATAAGCACCCTGCTACCGCTTTTTCTAAGTGATCCATATCATAACATGAATTACATTGTTTAAAGCGGTTATCAAAGTGCAGTGAACGTTACCGACTGAAGTAATGTAACCTAAACCAAGCAAACCCTCTTGATCGAAAATAAAATTTCATGTTTTTTTCGAACACATATTTCAGGCGTAGTAAATTTTCAAACTGCCCTACCTGCGGCATCTGCGGCGTTTTGAAACTATGGCGGAGCGTAGCTACACAGTGCCGCGTACCCTGCATGCTCACTTTCCCTACTAAGATTCTTAAAACACATTGGAGCACTCTTGAGCAGCGCCTTTAAGTGCAGGTCGCGATAGTCAAATCGGGATCATGCGCAACGGCTTCTGAACTGTTAAACTGCTTCGGCCTTCGGTGCATGCCTCTACAGTGCGGTTAAAAAAACGAACAGTTGTGGGCGGACCATTTGCCGTTTCAAAGTATCACTGAATGGCAATTGCAAAAACAGTAGGTAAGTATCCGCTAAGCCATAATTATGCCTTTTGTGAATCAGCGAAGTGCTGACTACACGTCCGTAGGGCAACCCGCGAACGTGTTCACTTTGTTGTCGATTATGTTGCTGATATTTCTGATAGCTTTACAATGGGTAGGCCATTGGGACGCCCACTCGTTACTCCATACACATCTTTCGACACCTCGCGGAATTCTATGCTGCTCCCACGCAATATGTCATGCGTTAAGGAGACGGCTGAATACATACTCCTCGTCAAAACATAAATACAACGCCGGCACGCAGCTGCATTGACAGCTGTAAAAAGAAACTCTTCATGCCTATGCGACAGCTCGTAGTGTTTACGTTGGCTATAGCATCATTCGTGCGAAAATATTGTTTCGTATTGTAAAAGAACTTCAGATGCTGGCAGGAAGAATCACGCAACCTTGTAGAGACGCGGACGCAAAAAAAAACCAGGGTGAAGCCCCTTTTCGTTGTGCCTTTTAAACGAAAGCCTTGGAAACATAATGACCGTACCTCTAAACTGAGAGGAGTGGTGGAGTCCCGGATCTTTCACATTAGACCTACCTGAGGAAAGACGTCTGAAGAATTCTGGTAGTGCAGGTTGTTAAACACGACAGACCATTTCATAAGCTGTGCATCCAGCAGGAATTTGGCCCTGTGCCAAAATATTAACTCGGCGAGAGTCCTCAGTTTGCGAAGAACAGTTCGAATACGGCCGCTCAACGGTAGTACATCACCACCGTTGTGGCTGGGATCATGGCGAGCTTCGTAGTCGACAATAAGCTGAAAAAAGATACATCCACGTGAGACGGTCATGATGAGACAGAAGTCTTCGGCGTGAGGGCGAAGCGTGGACAAAGAGCGCCAGCTATATCCTTCAATGAGTTGCCACGCACCAGTGAAGAAAATGCACAGGTGGGGGCCTATTTATTATTCGAAAACGGGAAATTGATGGCTCTACAAGCGCAACTACGGTTTTTTAGGTTAACTGTGACGAGAAGTAAGGTTGAGTAAAATAAAAATCTTGGTCAGTTTGTAGTGGTTCATGATAACTCAGGGTGGCGCGCTGCCGTGAGTCCTTTTTCTTCTGTGTGTGCTTATTTTTCGTGTCGGCCAAGATATTATAAATTCAAGATTTTTCAAGAAGATGAGGCAGGCAAACTGGAGGCATACATAAGTAGCACTAACACCCAAAATGGGTTCATGAGCGCAAAGGCCACGTGGTTTTTGTGGCAGATAAGGTTTGCTGAAGCAGGAGCTGGTCGGTTTATGTGGCGTAACGTGCTAAATGATAAGGTTATATGAGAGTCGTCATATTGGAGGTCTTATTAACTTCAATCGTCTTCATGTCCGCTGGAATAGCGCAGCACATGGGACCCTGGCAGTTAGCTTCTATCGAAGTGTAACTATTGCGGTAGCGACTTAACCTGCGCCTATCGGTTCTGCAGCCGACCATCATAAAGCCATCGTGATGGCTCGACATGTGGGTTTCTGCTAAGTGATGTAACACAGATTGGTCGGTTTTATAAACGCGGTAACTTCGAATCGCTTGAGAAAGCTAGGAATAATGAAATCACGATAAAATGGTGACGCAAGAAAACATTGGCTGCATGTGCAACGGCATATTAGCATGGTGGTTCGGTCTTCTTTGTTCACTCACTCTGTTTAACGACTGATTTGATTTATTTATTCATTTTCAATACTGCCAGTCTCATTCCGAGACCACAGCAGGTGGGCGTACAGATTGTACATGCAGGTGGTACAATAACAGCGCAGAAAACAGAAACAGGAATGTAGTGAAATGACAGTCATCACAAAGTATAAGAGCGAAAAATATACAAAATGTTTACATCTTCAAAGACAAAGAAACCATCACCAAAAAAAAGAGAAATTTTGCATGAAGTGAAGTGGTACACAGGCAAACAAATAGCAAACTTCTAAACACTCCAGTTAACACTTGTACACTCCACTAATACGCTTTCACTGGTGGCGCAATGCTTTTGGTAGTGCGAGTATTGCCGCATTAGGAGAACGAGTATTGCCGCATTAAGAGAATTTATATTTGGGGTTTAACCACATGACTATCAGAAACGCCGTAGAGCAGGGCTCCGGCAATTTCGACCACCTAGTGTTCTTAACGTATACCCAAATCTCAACATATTGGCCTAGAGCATATTCGACTTCATCGAAAATGCAGCCGCTGCAGCCAGGATTCGATCCCGTCACTTGTCTGTTTAACGACGTTAGGCTAATACTTGAAATCCTTTTCTGATGCTCCTTACATAGACAGGTGGTTTTTCACGAATAAAGTGTTGAAAGGGACTGCAATATGCGTGTCCTTTTCAGGGACGAAAAAAATAACTTCAGAACGGCGCACTTTACTCAAGGGTGGCGGATCTTCAGTTCTTAATAGCGTAGTTCGCAGGGACTACGGTAACAATTAGCTTACTCAACGCAGTTTGTAGACGCTACCAGTACGCCCTCAGATGTTTTTGATCTCTGGAAAGATTTAGGTCTATGCAAGAGTAGGTAGAAAGGAGTTCCTTTGAAATTTTCTTTTTGCAAGGTTTGGTACTAAGAATATTGAAGCAATCAAGCCGACAAGACACGCGTACTATGCACGCTGATGAACAAACGTTGTGTATGACGTATTTATTGTATTTGCTAAACGACCTTAAACACCTGATGACATGGTCTGTAGCAATAGCGTCTGCGTAATAGTGCACGTGTCACTTTTTATTGCTACCCCAATTGATGCGTGACAGCGCTTTCGGAATGTTCGCTGTGTTTATGCACACAATTTTAAGATATATCGTGAGCAGTAAAAAACTTGCACGTGTCTAGAGTAACAGCTAAACAGTTTGTCTTTTTACTAGAGAACGACGACTGTCCTAAATAAACATCGTTGGGATCAAGTGAAGACCGATCAAGCCTCGCATTTTAGGCGAAAACTCGCAGGTGCTCTTTCGTGCATTTAGGAAGGGCCCATTCATTCTCTTATCGGCGTTTGCTCACTTGGTTGAGTTCAATCTTAACTATGCAACCGCTCAGTGTTCACAAGCCTTATCCGCTACAGAGCTATATACGGATAAGGCAATCCACGTGTATGTGTGCGACAACCCCTGGTGCCCACGTGTGTGCACCAGGGGTTGTCAAAACGCCAATATTCACCGCTGACCCACTAAATATGCAGGGAAACACATGGCCACCCAAATGCCTAGAATACACGTATACTCCAGGCCTCATAGGATTTAGCTCGACGCCCCATACATGCTGTCCGATTTACGGACTACACTGGCAAAAATACGGTTGGGCACGGGCCTTTCGCGGGACGATAACACAGTCTCGTTCCAGGACAACCTTTTCAACCAGGCAGACTTGCCGCTACTTTACTTGATCAGTTTCGCGTGGGATGTCTCTGCGCCTTCATCGGAATGAATGAACGACATCGCTTGTTACATTCATAACCTAATTAGACGAACTGGCGAATTTAAGCTTCGAAAGCTTGAGACCCATCTCACCTACCTGCTGCGCCGGCAAGCCCATGGAAATCACAGTATGCGAAAGCATTTCGTGCGCCTGGAGGCCAAGGGGACCTTTCCCGACACGATGTTTGGCTGTCGCCCGCATGTGTAGGCGCTCAACCTTCCACACGGTAATATAAACCGACCACGGTGTAACATAACAATAAAGTCGGCTTACTCTGAATCTTCGAGTGATTTTCGATAACAGTTGGACACAGCGGTATTCTTTCTAACCTCCCTACCCTACCACAAACGGCACACAGAACCCTTTCAACCACATTCACGCTTTTCCGTATCATCGCGCCGTGTTTTTACGCCTCGATTCTGTTGAACCCGAGCCGTACTTATAAAGCAGACGGGGTACACCTCAAAGGGTATCCCTGGCACGCCTCTTTAACCTGGCCTGAAGCACGTCTCTCTATTGTGCACGAGCTCTACGGAGTAAAAGACGTGACCGCGGGTCAGCACAATTACCGATACGGAAATTTTGAATTGAGTTGTAAGTGTTGTTGTTGTTGTTGTTTTGTTCTTTTGAAATTCTATACTTTGTTTTGTAATTTCACCTCTCCTGTCTGGGCCCCGTGGGCCTGAAGTATGTTGTAAATTACTTAAAAAATGAAGATATTCCGGTGATAGTAAAATGTGTACTAACACCGACTCACCAGCGCAAATTGAAGAACGTCTACAAAAGCCTGCCTTTGTGGTGGCTACCTACGCTGCTTCTTGCAACCTGGAGCGCTCTCCAGCTAAATCTGCTTGGCTCTCTGCCTCCCGCGTACCTCCTCCTCAGATTTATTTTGTGTTCGTCCTGTGCCATCTGTAGAAAACGGTTGGATTTTCGGTCTTTACCTCACATCATCCTTGGATCTCAAGGGCACAATAGTAGGCCTCCCACCCAACAGCTAGCAGGTGAGCCGAGTGATACGTCGGGTTTCTGGTAACCACGCCGGCCTTCGCGGGTCCTTGTCCGGCCTATGATCTTGTGACAAGTCGCGTACGTCCTTCACGTCTCGTCTTGTAATAAACTGCGTTGTGGACCAGGTGGACACCCAGGTGGACATCTAGGTAGACATAATCCTTCATTTAGTGTACAAAGTGCACTCGACCTACCCATTGCCGCCTCCAACATCTGATTCGCGGCAATGGGCATGTAAAACTATTTCGCAGAGCTGGAGGAAGTTCATCGGATTGGTCGAATCAATCGTCTCCTGCAGACGCCTTGAGGGTTGCTTTCGCTATATAGGCTCGCCCTTAACACGATCTCTGAGCAGGACACTCCGACTCCGGTGCCGGAACGTTGGTGTCAAAAATGTGTGCAGCCACTACCCTGCATTCTGGCCGCAGACAAACACGCTCTATCGCCCTTAAGGCGTGACACTAAGATCGTTCTGGCATTTTCTACATGGACATCCTGGTCGCCTCCTGCGACTATTTTACGGTCGCCGTGATCACATAGCAAGATCACGTCGATGGCCTCTCCTCAAAAAACAACACTGTAACGCAGGCACAATAGGTTGTCATTGCTTTTGCCACCTCGCATCTCACCTCACGCACGATCCTGGCAGACTCACGCTCAGCCCATTCCCAATAAATTTATAGTTTAATCCGCCGCTGGCAGCTCGGCTTCTTAGGGCATAGGCCTCTCGGGCCTGCTCAGCAACAAGGCAGTGACCGCCATCACTACGGGGCCGTTGCCACTCCATGTCGGGAAATGCAGTCTGGGACTACCAACCTAATGCGCTTCCACGAAATTTCAGTCTATTGCCCGTCTTCACGGCACCTCTACCCAGATGCCGCACATGGTCTAGAGAAAGCAAAGAACGATTGCTATATATGTGTACACCGCCCCCGACGAACACCTAGCCCAGTCCGGTGGTCACCAAGCACCTTTTGCGGAAATCTATGGCACCTGCTCGAGCTGTCAGGTTCTCTGGCCAACACCTACCGCGCCGTCTCTTCCCGCCAACCTAATTTCCTTTTCATCCCTTTCCCCACTAGGAAAGAGTACCTTCCCGGCTGCTTCATCGTGGATACTCAACTCCACTCGTCCGGGTAGCGACTAGCTCCACTGGGGTCCTGAAATATGGTCTGGCCACTCAAGCATGCAGCATTACGCAGCAACTCAATGACTTAATTTTCTAAAATAGTGTTTTCTACCACCACCGCCATCGAACTAAATATTGTGCAGAGAGCGCCAACTGCATGCGGCAAAACAGACAAGGCGACCTATGTCGAGCAACGTAGAATGTGTAAGAAAAACCCGCGCTGCTCAAACAGCTTCTCAAAACTGTGCATGGAACGCCAAGCGTATTCATCAAAGCAGAGAGACGACGCGTGTCATGAAACTCATGGAAAAAAGGCAACCTTAAGGAGCATAAGCTAAATACAAAGGAGCCTCCGGGACAGATGCCTCAAATTTGCATACAGGAATCGTGACGGGCAAAATGTCCAAAATTCTGTGAGTGGATTGGCGCGCGGCGATTGCGGGTTCGGTGCATGTAGCATTCGGACACCGCAAACTCAGCGAACTGTGTTGACTCGGTGCTTCGCCGTGGTAGTCTAGTTGCTAAGGCACTCGGCTGCTGCCCCGCAGGTCGCGTGATCGAATCCAGGCTGCGGCGGCTGCATTTCCGATGGAGGCGGAAATGTTGTAGGCCCGCATGCGCAAGTTTGGGTACACGTTAAAGTATCCCGGGTTGTAGAAATTTCCGGAGCCTTCCACTACGGCGTCTCTCATAATCATATAGTGGTTATGGGATGGTAAACCCCACATGTCAATAAACTGTGTTTACCCGGCATCATAATGTCCATTACTGCAGATTTGGCCTGCACCTACTGCTAGACAAAAACGTTAAAATCAAAATTAAATATCTTACAAAAGTTACGGAGCTTCGGTGTGTGGAGGCGTTAAAACTGCATAGCAAACAAATGAAAAAGAATAATTGCGCGATGAATAAAAATTGTAAATGTACTCCTTATTTATTTTATTTACTTATTAAATACTGCAGACCAAGAACTTGTCTAAGCAGAACAGGTACAAGAGGCAGGATATAAACAGAAACACGTGTAAAAATATATCGAAAGAAATGGAATAGAAAGCCCTTACTAAGAGAACACATAAAGGTTAACACACGAAAACATTATCACTTAGAAACAGAACACAAACTGACACTGCACTAAACAGTTCTACTCTGACACACTACACGGAATTTAAACGCGTTGGTTGTAGAAAAATACGAGGTTCGAGAATGGGCGTGATGATGGCCTGTATGCCTAGCGAACAGGGGAGATACGTATGCCCTCGGAAGGGGCAAATTGTGGTTAACAAGAAGATAGAGAAAGTTAAGGCGGTTCCTTTTTTTGTCGTTATGAAAGTGTTTTAGTGTTGTTAGGAGCCACGAGTTCGGTCGGCGAGTGCGTTATATTGAACTTAGAAATAAGCAAACCTAACAGCCTTTACTTGTACTGCTTCGAGTTTCTTAGTGTTAGACATAGTAAAATATTAAGTTAGTAAATGCGTCATAACCTTTGATATTGGTCCATAACAACGTAAACATCGCGCGAACACTTACGTTACGAACAAAATAGGGTACACCACAAGCGCTTACTCACAAGTTAAAGCTTTATTGCTTCAACCAAAAATATATAACACTTACACTAAATGTCCAACAAATGCCCGTGCATGCGCATCGTACACGAAACAAAAGGCACTAATACAAACCAAGGACACACCTCCTGCACCCCCCTCCACACCGGTCCCTTTTGAAGAGTAGCGCGACTTCTTTTCCCGATAAGGCCAAAGAAGGATTGCTAACGCACATGGGAGCCCTCGCGTTATTGTGGTAGGCCTCGACAAGTTCTCGTGTCGTGCGATTGTGGTGGTAAAGACCACGATGTCGCGCTACATTTACGTTATTACGAATCAGTACTGAGTCGCTCGCCTTTCCTTTTTGCTTCGATATTGGAACTGGCTCGTCAGTATAAGCAGATGCAACCAATTTAATGCCGTAGTTGCAGAACGAGTTGCTTTTACGGGCACAGGTTTAAGCAAATCCGTTTGGTAGTGACCAGCTAAGGATCTGCGAACGATTCCTTAGCTTGCTCGAAATTTTTCGCTGGAGTCAGTTGTCTACGAGGCTGGTTGCCGTAAAAGGTAGGTTGTTTGGCTACTCGGTAATTCAAATTTGTTAAAGAAACCGAGAGCGTAGAAACAAGAACGGCAGGCGAGGTCAGACAGACCATGCAGCACGAGAGCTCGTGTCGTGTATCCCATTATCGTCCTGCTTGACGTGCTCACAGTTTTTCGGACACGGGCTTCCCGTTCGTAGCAGGAACTGGCGTTAATTTGGATAATCAGCAATGAGTGGCGTATTGAATTTTCATGCCATATAGGGCGCTCGACGTTGGTGCAACTTGCCACTTTGTCAATGACTGTTTCGATGAACACACACAAGAGGTGCAAAAGCTATAGACGCTAAAGAATGCGCATGTAGTTGCGCATGTTGGTAAGTGTATGTGGCAAGTGTATGTGGCAAGTGTACAGGATGTCTGGCCCGAGATCTGAAGGCAAAATCAGAGATCACGTGTGTGTTGTGGTCATTCTTTGGTTGGCTTTTTTTTGCGTTGTTGAAGCTGTGCGTTGGAACAAATTATTGTTTTCTTTAGTCCGTGTTTTTGGTGACGTGACACATTGGATGAGCCCAATAGCCCACTGAGTGTGTAGATCCTGTGACCGCTCCTGTGACAGAGAACTACTTTCGCTGGCACACGACCCTCGTCTTTTGTGACGGCAAGTGCGACACGCAAAACGAACAAACACTCCTCTGTAAACTGGCCACTGTGACAATTTCAAGATTCCTGTCTCGCTCCAGCATATTCCTTCGATTGGGCAGCGTCAGTTTTCAAACTAATGTGCTCGGTAGCTGTTGTACTACGATTTGTTGACCTACAAAGTATGTTGACGTATCTAGCAAGTGCACTCTTTTGCTAATGAAACCAGGTTGTTTCCCCATTTATTTGTGTGTTCACCTCCTTTTTCTGACGCACGGGCGATTAGTGGGCAAAAAAGACGTAGTAAACTATTTATTTATTTAATCCTTTGGTTTGAGTACATAGTGAACATGAAGACAGAAAATAGGGAGGGAATAGGCTGACAACTTCCACCTGTAGGGGCACCACAAAGCCTGCCTGCTCCTTCAGGAAGGGGAGGCATAGAGGAAATAAGGGAACAAAGAAGGAGAGAGAAGAGAAGAAGTTTTAAATTAAAGGGGGGAAGGAAACACGGACACGCAAAAAAATAAATAGTCAAATGAAAAACGTCTATAAAGGTAATGATCGCACATTCCACTGCAGCACGAAGGAGCGCGGGTTTTGACCGTTCATACTGTTTTTCGAGAAGGTCGTCGAGAACTGGGACGCGTGCCTCTAAAAGCCGTTCTGCGGCTAGTGCTGCTGGTGTCTGGCGACCAGCAATCAGTGATTTAATGAGATTGATGAGCATCTTAAGCAGGTTGATAAGCTGGGCTGGTCTTCACAAAGTCCATTTTGTTTGCAAACTTTTACACTGTAAGCGGGCTCTTAGTAGAAGCTGCTTCCGACGCTTTGCGAGAAGCGATCTTTTCAGAGATTGTCTCGGACATTTTCTGTGGAAGCGCCGGCCACGATGTTGCCGAGAGGGAGAAGTTCCGCTTCTTCTCTTTCCTCTCAGGTATGTTTTTAGTACTACACATCGAAAGTGCAGGTACATCAGTTTCGCCTTCTATAGCAGCGGGTAGACGCGTACTGCGGTTGAGAGTCTTCTCTCCCGATGCTTTATCTTTGGCTCTTTTTTTCAGAACCTTCAATTCTTTTTCTTCAGGATGGGACATTCTTTGTCTGTTGCGAAGTGCTCGCCGTCACAGTTAGGACACTGAAATGTCAAGCTGTCACAAAACTTTACGTTGTGCTTTCCGCCACATTTGGCACAAACCAAAACACTTGTGCAGAGACTCTGCACATTTCCAAGCTTCAGGCGTTTACGACACTGTAAGGTCCTTGGTACAAATGGTCGAACAGGTATCACACTAAACTCGCTTTTATGTGATTCGGAAGCTTTTTTCCATTCGAAAACAATCTTTACACGCTTTGACGAGCCTAGTCTGCGGACGCTGGTGATTTTGCATGGAGGCGTGCAAACGATAAAGCTCTTCAAAACTTCATCTTGAAGTTCTATGTCGACGTCAGATATAACACCAGCTGTTACATTTGGGCCCTGGGGTAAAAAAGCCCGCGTGTTGACACCAAAGAGATGCGATAGACCTAGTAGGGTTTACCGTCTTTGCAGTTATCAAATACAAACCAAATTTACAAAAAATCATGATTCGTGCCTTGTAGTTCAAATTCAAGACATCGCTACCGCTTCCGGTTGGGACGTCATGTATTGGCTATTAGCTTGCTGTTAGTCGTCCCCGCAGTATATAGATGACGACGGCAGCAACGAGCCGCAAATTATTTGGCACGCAACACATATGGCACTTTAGCTCACGGTGTTTATATACATTGTGTTTATCTCTGTTTCATCCAATTCATTAGTCAGTCAGCGCTTCTGTCCGTGTCGTCGCTCTTGTGTGTGTTCCCGCTGGTCACCGTCACTTCACTAGTTATTTCTGTTTCTAAAATCCCAGTATGGCAGATATGCGCAGATGCGCGCATCTTCAAGATGCGGCAACTGCAACGTAACAGTATTACGTCATTTGTGGGCCTGGTTTTCATGCGGCGCAAAGGCTCCACCATAAGCCGCTATTAGTGCGCGGTCTTCTCACAGTAAAAACATAAGGAGGCAACAATCAACCGCACTTAGGTACGTACCGCATCGATATAGTGGTCGGCCGCATCCAAGGCGCTGCGAAAACCAGCTTGAAGCAGACGAACTATGGCCGTAGAATATGCTGTCAGACGAATGAGAAGAGCCACGGCAGCAATGATCCAACCACAAAGTATCGTCATCTGCGAAGACGTGTGCACAGGTGGTGAGAATGGGTTGAACGCCGCCATACGGTAATTACGTTATGCAAGAGTTAAGTGCGGATATCTCATAACAAGTGCCCCGTGCAAATGTACATACGGCATAGTTAATGCCAGAAGTATGTATGTTATAGCTGTGGTAAAAATTTTGATTTTGCTTTTTAACTAGCAGTGAGCGCAATTGCATCTGTATTATCCAATAAATAATCAGTCAGCTTTCGGACATGAAAACGAGCATATTCACTTTTTCACTTGCCAGAACACTGATCAATTGAATATAGAACGCGCAAGCGCTTAGCAATAGTTCAGAGTAGCCTCGATGTGTGCACTACGCCGCCTATACAACAAGAAGTTCACAAATGGCGGTTCGGCATTGTTTAAATTTTTTCCGTGACTCTTTTGTTACAGTGGTTGCTCAAAGGACGCATACTTTCGTGTTAAAGCGTACACAGCAGGCGATCGAGCGTATAGGGTCGCTCGTTCTTACTCGGAGTTCGCTCTGAAGAGCCCGCGGGCCGAATTCTACTGTCGCCGAAACACAGCGTCGTTCGCAGTGGACGCACCCCGCACCGCCTAATATACCATTCCCCACGGGGCAAATGCCGGAAGCATGCTCTGTCATCCGGCAGTTAACACGGCTCGCAAACGCCGCTACACTGCACGGTCGTGTAGGCTTCAATGATTCTCGCACGCAGGAAGCTGAGAGAACCAGTACTGCTCACTTCACTGGTAAGTCACTGTCTTGTAATGCATGAAGAGCAGGGAAAAAAAAAACGCGACGACAGTGGCGTGGGCGGGTTCGTCTTGCTCTACAAAACCGCGACAAGCTCGGTCATGCCAACTCTTCCACGAAATTGGCGCGTAAAGTAGGCTACTGCATAGAGTAGGTCAGACTCCTGCTGGTTACAACATTCAGTTACGCGCACTGCGAAACGACAACCGAGTCGGGCTCGGCCGCCAGTTTTTAAAATACTTGACAAGTGGTCGTATTAGTTCGCGGTGACCGATCCGGGGGCAGACACCACGAAGATCGGCCCGAGAACCATGGGCCCGAAGACGAGCCTCTCGGCTCATCTCTCCTTTCGGCGGTCCGAATGCTCAGTGTGAACGAGCCTATTAGTACGAACACTGCACAGCGCCGTCGTGATAGGCGAAGAACCAGCGCGCACTCTGCGGACGCGATGGAAGCCAAGTCGCACAGGTGCGGCAGCTTTTGCTGTGAAGAATGCATGTCAACATGCCTAAACGAACTGAGCGCTCAGCAACGGTTTAGCGGGAAAGTGCACTTCGTTTGTTGCAGCATGTTATATAATTATAATAGTCATTAGCCGTCGATTGCATGAAGACGCACATGCTGAACGCGCTTGCGAAGCCATTACCGAAATCGTCCGCAAACAGGCTACTTGGCGTAGTAACAGAGGTGCAGTAGCTCCGCCCTCGTAGATTCGGCTGTGCTGCTACAGAAAATTGTCAGCAGGCACGGCTTTGTAGTGCGTATTCACCATTCCGATCACAGCTCGCAGGTCTGGATGAAACCCACTGCCTTACTGGCAGACAACCCTTTATTGTAATGAGAGGGAATCTTTGGAGCACTTCTTTTTGTCATGCCGAAAATTGAAAACTCGAAGGGAAAATCTACTAGAATAGCCCCTACGAAAGTTGGGCTTAAACTTGACACTTCCGGTGATTTTTTCATTTGGCGCAGTCGCATTTGGATTCAGCCACAGGAGCGTTTTTACCGCTGTTACAAATTTTTTACGAGAATCTAAAAGAATGGAATGCTAAAAATCAGTAGCTTCAGTTGTTTTATGTATAATTTTTTTCTGTTTTGTATGTTTATTATGTTTTCTTTTCAACGTTTTTTTGGAAGTTTAACACCTTTTTATTATTACCTATATTACCTAAGTATTTCCACTCTCTCTTTCAAGAAGTGAATTAATTTAAAAAGCAAGGCACCGTCCCATTCATGGCCTATCCCCCTAGGTGGGTTGCGCCAAGGTGTTGAGGAACCAACCAACCAACCATCACGACATCACAGAAAGAAGCAAATTCACAACCATCACAGAAAGAAGCAAATTCACAAAAATGGTTGCGTCTAAAGGGCCTTTTAAAGACGTACACGCCTCTGCCCACAAAATGCGATGCTAGGGCATCACACCCTGTGCAACGTGGCTGAAATCCTATGAAATAGTTATCACCGCACTGCTTTTACTCTTCAGGAACCATGGTCATGAACAGCGGCACACATCGTAGCGATTAGGCGACGAAGCACACAGATTTCTACCTATAACACAACTTCAGCGTGAGTACTTTTTCAAGACGAATCAGTTAAATAGGTGTGCGGTGAACCACACGTCGCCTAAATTTGTCACACTGGCGTAAGCGTCACATCGTCTCATATGTTTGGTCTCTACGTTACAATATAAAAACGTATGCTAGCGATGGCGTTGTACTAACCTTTGTCATTGCACACAGCATCAGTTGGGCGACCAATATGACGACATGGGCGACGATCTCGTCGGTTCGGAAAAAAACTTCGGCCAAGCGTTGCTGCAAATTATCAAAGACACGACACGCCATTGCTTCGACGTACAGTAGCGGCCGCGACAGCACCGGCATGAGCAGAGCTCTGCAAACCAACACGGTCTTCCTAATAGTCGTTTCGACGGCTGTCATAGGTACAGAAATAAAGACAGAACGATTCTTGACCTTTTCGTATAACCGAGAGGCTCGACTGAGAAGTCTTGCCACCAAGGGCACGGCAAGGAGCCGCCCCACGAAATCTAACTCTTGTTCATGGTACCTCTCGGCTGCTACATTCATGACAGTGCCGGGCGTGTTATTTCAGAGTCTACTCAAACCGACGAATCCCCCTGTTGTTGGCTACACGCTGCTCCACATGCCGCAACTAACGCGCCTTACTTCAGCTTCAACGCTGTGACGCTGGCTCCTACACGATAAGCAGAAAATTGTTTTAAACATTTGCACATGCGCGTGCACGCTATCTGTAGCTACATAACACCGAGTAATCGCCTATGTGGATTCAATCAGCATGAAAGGTTCTCTGACCTCGTGCACCGTTTTACTACACTTTGTTCCTATTTGCTTGCGCGAAGAGAAACAGTTATGCCGCAAAGGCTAAACATTGAGCGGAACAACCAAAAATTGGAATTTCACGCAAAGAAGGCAACCGCATCAAAACATGCATCGTGCTGCTCACGGTGAATGAGCTCGCAAAAAGAACACACGCAAAACAAGAGCGAACTAACAACGTTCTTAGCTCAACACTATACTTAATTTCAAACTTAAAAGACGCACAAAACGTATGCGCACTCGTATACACAGCATGAGTGCGAACTAACAGTGTCACAGCTTTACTTCACTGCGTTTGAAAAAAAATTGCCCCATCTTCACGAAGGGGATTTGGAGAAAATGCGAATGCATTTCATGCACCGAGAATAAACGGCGTGGTAATTTTAATGGCGCAAATAATGACGCAACGAGGATTTATAATATAACCATTTTATTTATTTATACATTCATCAGCCAGTCAGCGTTCGAGTGAGGCGGGCGCTTCAGTCCATTTATATATACGTAGGTGCGAGCGGACGGGAGGGGGGGTTGCAGGGACGAGAGAGAAAGAGAGCGAATGGCGACAGGAGCGGCGAAGCTCTGCGACACGCGGGAGCTGGGCTGAGCTGCCGCAATGAGAGCGCGCCCTAGCCCGCCAGAGCTCGCTCCTTCTCTACATTCACTCTCTGCTACTCCACGCGCACCATCTGTTCCGGTTGCTAAGGGTGAGGATAAGCGTGCGCACCCACAGATGTTGTGAAGGAGGAGGAATTGAGAGCGAAGAGATAACACCTGCCGTCGCGCGGACCCCGCCAGACACGTGACATAGCTCAACTAAGGACATAGCCCAACTAAGCATTATCTTAAAAAAAAAAAACTGCACCCGCATCTTCCCACAGGGGAAACTCGAAAAAATGCGTCGCAAAGGGGTCGGGGTATCGCGTGAATGTTGAGTAATTTGGTACAGTTTGCTAATGCTTAAATGTTATTTCGTCCTGATTTTTCATATTGAATGAAGGAGGAGCGTTGGCTTCAACGTCAAGCAAAAGGCAAGCAAAGACGCCCTTGACTGGATTCCAAACGAGCGATCCAGTACCTACACATAAAGGGTGGCTAGTGAACGGCTGTGCAGTGCGAGCACAGGTTTTTTTACTAGTAGACGCCATAGAGTAAGGGAAATTTAGGCAAGAGCGGACAGCTAAAGAGGATAAAGCTCTATCCGTCACCTACTCGGAGTAAACAGCCTTAGAGATTTTAGCGTCAAATCACTGTGACCTTGGTTCCGGGGAACACATCCTGTCATAAGCGACGTTCATGTGGTGCAAGCACTATAAAAAAAAACAAAAAAACAGAGGCATGCAAGATAATTGTGCAGCTTGTTCATTTCTTTTATCTTTTTTCTTTACATGCGAAGATAACTTTTTCATCATAAACTGAAAATGTTTGTAACAACATTCAACCGACTTCTGCGATACGACGTTGACAACGTCATAGCCAAACCAGCAACGGCGCCAAGTGAAACAGGGCAGCTCTCATACGTGTTCCGGCGGCCCTTCTTTTAGATTTTTCGCAACGACAAGTTGTAGTATTGAGCGATATTTTTTGTGACAGTTTTGTCTGCTGCTGATGATGACAGCAAGGAGAGCACTCACTTTATTTGTTCCTTCTCGAAGTACTGCGCAGTAAATGCATAGTTCAGCTTAGACTATGCTGGTTGGTAGTGACAGCTGCGCCATAGCATTGCGTCCTAGAATAGATGCCTGGCGCATGAGCACAAAAACAGCTGCCAGACCATCTCCGTCTTTCATTTTCGATTAGTGTATATAAGTCGCTAGCGCCACGGTGCAACAACTCGTGTAGCCTTTGAAATAGTCGTGTGCAGTTGCAGGTCTCGAATAACTCTCGACTGGCGCAACGCATGGCCCACAGGTTAAAAACGCTTAGCATAAGACGTTCATGCAGCGCGCACAGAAGAATGCGCGCAGTGTGTGGTTTTGTTTGATAATTACTGCAGACAAACATACAAATAACTCGTATTATCGTAAAAGTGGACGCGAAAATGACAAAAATTAGGCTTTAAGAGGTATCTTACATCGTCTTTTAAATAAATCATCAGACCTAGCAGATGTAACTGCAGTGCGAGTGCTAGTGGTGTGCACGCTTACATTGCTGCTAGTGCTTGCTTTTTTATATTTTGAAAGGTTTGTACTATACTTCTTGCATTGTGCGTGCGTCCGGTGCAACCACCTACAATCGGACATGCGCTGTTTTTGCATGCCAAAGTGCAGGTCTAGTCTGCGGCAAAAACAACATGGTGTATCTTTTCATGAGATACTGACTGGGCTCACTTCACATGAGCTTACGGCCATCTCAAGAGAAGAGTAGGTACCAAACTGTACCTCGAACTAACTATGTGGTATGTAGTCTGCACATTCTTCTATTGTACTTCAGAGACGGTTGCACAAGACAACTTCTTAAACCGGGGGCTGTTCCAAGCGTGTTTGACGACCTGACAGGAGACACTGTGGACATGGAAAGGGTCGCAGTAAAGCGGGACAGAAGAATACGGAAACGAAAGTGTGAGCCATGGAGGAAGGAAACGTTGTGCAAGCCTTCACCGAGCAATGACGGCAGAAGAGAGCGAGATCGAGGCAATTGGTCCTAAAGTTGACAAGCCACGAACCAGCGAGAACGCAAGCCTGAGCGAATCCGTGCAGGAAAGGACCAGTTTATTGAGTGGCAATCACCGTGTAGGTTTCTTCGCCATGACAGGGCGTGCAGTGGTGACAAATGTAGGAACAAATGCCCAAATTGCAAACAAGCAAGGTGTGGTTGTTGTGGTTGGTCCAAGCGAGAGTGCCAGAAAGAAGGGGACCTTGCCCTACCAGCGCTCTTTGAAAACATAGACAGCCGCAAGCGCGTCTTCCTCGCTATTTTTTTGTTCAGCACGAGCGATGGCGCGAAAAGAACCGCACTGTGAAAGCTAGAAATGAAAGGCTGCGAAGAACTGTGGACACACACAAAAACGAGCTCAAAAAACTTAAAAAAGAGTGCTCTGTAGGCGTATTTTTAAAGTTGTAGCCGATGCTCAAGAGGCAAGCACAAAAGATCTGTAACTGTATATCAAATGAAATATTATAAGAAATGGCCAACGTAAGAAGAGGCCGACTATAAGAAGAGCTGAACTATAAGAAGAAACACTCCATTTCATTCGACATTTATCTACCACCAAAGCGTGTGAATACCTTAGGTGCGAGAAATTACTAATTTTTCCATGTCACACTATTCTGCAAGAACACATTGGTAGCATCTCCGGAGAAGTAGGTTTTAGCGAGCTCGTTCACCGACGCTTCCAAACCTAGGACTTGAAATTTAGACACGCCCCAGTCTAAGGTTTGCGGCCTTATGGTCGATGAGCTGAGGGTACAGGAAAAACTGGTGCACCTCAACCAGCGGGATGCCTTTGTTGGTGACGTAAACATGGGTCCTGAATTGGAACAACCTGCTCCCAAATCAGGAGAGTATCTGGTGAACTCGCTTTGTGTTTCCTCCTGTGTGGCTTAGGCGCCCGGTCCAAGACGCCGGTCAGGTATTTTTTTTTTACAAAGGACTGCACCGGTTAGCAACTTGCTCTGGTCATGCATGACCCACGTACGAAAAAAGACAGCAGACGCCTGTTTTGACGTTGTCCGCCTTGTGACTGATAATCACAAGATAAACGAAGCAGGCATGAACATCATGTGCAATTGGCGAAGTAGCTCTAAGAGGCCCACATCTCGCTGAATCTTGTGAAGAAATTCAACTTTTCTGTGATTAGAACCATATCGTTAAAAATGTCCGATCTTGGCAAAGGAATTCGGTAGAAATAACCAGGTGCCATCAATGTATGTTAAACAGTTGTGTAGAATGCAGAAGCATTCTACAAAGAGGTCGGTGAGATTTCTAACCCGCAGGTATGTGCACCCTTCAAATATATAGACAATGAGCGTCAAGCCAGCCGTGGTTCTTGGCAAGAGCGACAACAGCTATTATTAGCTACCTTAAAGACCAGGCCTCACATACCAGTGATTTGGAGTACACGTCAGCGGGGCCTATCATCGAGTTCATAAAAATGATGTAAAAATTGTTCAAGCTCATGGACGTGAGTAACTTCCAATAGTATATTCACTGCAACAACAAATACGCTCGAATCTTCACAGATGTCGAAGATCTGAGGCTCCAATAATTGGAAACTTTCTTCCTTGATTACATCGAAAACTTGAAGAATGAAAGCTTGGCAGGAAACTTTTTCTGTAAGGCGACGTATTACGCAATTTTTTTCCGGTTGAAGCGACATGCTGCACGTGAAGAGCGCTGTGTGTGTGTGGTCTAGAGAAAATTGAATACCGTCAGCGTTGTTTGTCTAGAGATTACTATTCCCTTCTCATCTAAGCCCTATTACTAACCCGGCACTGTTTGCATTTAGCCGTCAGCTCCCTAGCCTCATCAACTTTAGCTCGTTCGCATTATCTGGTTTTATTTCTCACCAATTTTCCTTTCCTTCTTTTATTCAAAATTATCATGCACTCAAGCTACTGAGCAACCTCCTCGACGATAAGACCACTCTGTGGAGCCCCACCTAAGGCGTAAGTGTTAAATGTTCATGAATTCTAGCAATCACTTTTTTGAATCTTTTATAGAGTATTAACACAGTAATGAAGGCATTACCAATGATTGGCGGGGCTCTACATGCCGAAATCATGAAATGATCATAAGAAATTGTGGATAGGAGAATAAAATTTCACAGAACGTGACTTGCATTAAAATAACAAAATAAAAAACAGCCTCTTTGAAATTTGCAAAAACTTTTGCTTCTACTTTGTGCAAAAAGCGCTCAAAGGAAAGCGAGTAACATGGGGTAAGAGTCGACTACTGATGATAAGTAAGTTCCTGAACTCCTAGTGCTGTTTTCCCGCAGGCACTGTTTGAACCTATTATGGATTTCAACGAAGGGCCGATGCTGTCAGAT